TTTGGTCAGGGTGCCTAAAACGTTTGCTAGACAATGAAAACAAAGAAGAACACACTGAGCACTATGATTCTGGGCCGCTTTTGTGAAAGCAATATTCAATAGACTGTGAATCAGGGTTCACAGTAGAAAGCGGCAACAAGGGCCAAAGTAGCTGCCTGTTGTGGCTTTAAAATACAAGGCTTATTATATACTGTTTTGTAGCTGACTGTTCGTATATTTAGCCACCTAATCAGAATACTTAAAGGATGTCAAGGACTTCAAAGTAAATATGTGGGTGCTTAGATTGTAGAAATACTTAACATTTGTTGCGATCTTTTATTCCTAATCTGTCCAGTTGTAAAATTGTTAATGATTACTGTGCTCTATTTTACCACTAGTTTGAAAAGTTTTTGCTCAATATGTACGATCTTAAAAGTTCATAACAAGGCCTAGAAATGTTGTTCCAAGTTTGTGCAAACCTTGCTTATTGGCTGAAATATTTTTTTGACATTCGTCTTTCTTTGCACTATTTCTTCAGGAGATCAAATTATTGAAATCAACGGTACTTATCTCAGAGGAATGAACCAAGAAGACGTTATCAAGATCTTCAGAGATCTTCCAAGTTCAACGCAGATGAAAATAAGAAGATCAAAGATGGCGCCTCAGGAACAGGGTTCAAAACAACAAGAGAACAAGAGAAAGGAGTCTGTGGAGAAACCTCCCTCACAAGACCCAGTGCCACTGCCTAAACCTCCTGAGAACAGGCGGAGGTCGAGTTTGAGAGGTAAAGTACAGTATGTTAAGCAAGAAGTGGAACCTACATCATCTGTGAAGACAGAAGGAATTCCGTCGTCTGAACATCGAAAAGCTGAAGAGGAAACCGATTCTCGTGATCAAGGACTTGCGTCAAAGGAAATTTACCAGAATGGTAGTGGAGTTAAAGAAAAAACTGAAGAAAAAACTGGAAAGATTGTCGCTTCCGGTGGAGCAAAAACCACACCAGAAACAAAATCTAAAGAAGAAACTGAACCAGTCCTAAATGACATCAATACAAAATCGGACAAAATAAATGATGAACTGGGCGACAATTTGATCATTCCATCTGGTTACAGGAAATTGACTGTGAAAATACAAAAGGCACCTAACTCCACACTTGGTCTTTCACTAGTTCCTAGCTATGGGAAACTGAAAGGATACTTCCAGGTACTAAGAGTAATATAAATTTCATTACATGTGCCGTGGGCTTACGACATAGGTACTGTAGTCTATTATAGTGGTTCCGTGATCTTATCTGATCTGATCGGGAGGCTTTTTACTCCATTGTGGAGCATACGCCACTGACAAAACTCCACCAGTCTTTACTGTCCCTGGCCTGATGTTCCATCTGCGTCATACATCCACTCGGAGAACTTTTCGTATTAGACACACCCCTCTGCACCACACATTAGCCAGAGCTAGTAGACCAAGTAGTCATAATGATATACATAACAAAAATCCATACTGATGTATACTATACAGTTATTTGTAAAACTTCTTACCAGTAGGTTTCACTTATCTAATCGCACCTAGAAGTTAGAACCTCAGTAATTGGCATGAGGTATGACCGGGAACAAAAGGTTTTTAAGGCTCAAACAAATAGGTACCGTTATTACAGCTGTGAGTATCACTCTTCTCTGGAAAAGCATTATGTATTTTTTTCATGTCAAGTTATTAATTAAGTTATTAATTTTCCTCTTTTTACAGATCCGCAGACTGTTATCTGGTATGGTGTGTGCCCAAGATGGACAACTTCAGACTGGCGATAAGCTCGTGTCAGTAAATGGTGTGTCTCTGAAAGGTGTAACTCATTCGATGGCATTACAGCTGCTCAAGAAACCTATGGACGTAGTAACGTTTGTGATACTAAGAGAGGGTCTGAAAACACAAGGAAAAGTAACGAGTTCTTCTCTGAATCAGAGTATAGCTCAGACGCCGGCTAAAAATTCACCCATACTTCAAGACAGCGGAGAACTTACTGAAACATTATATTCAAAAACAGAACGTGTAGATAAACCGCAAGGCGCAGGACAGCCTGTGACTTTCATAGCATCTCAACTAGTAGACAGTGAATCAAGAGACTTACTAGACACATCACATGAATCTCCGTTACTACAGAAAGAAGAAACTGCTCAAGAACAAGTTCCAGAGATACCTTGTTCACCTCCACCCTCGCCAGTGTTGGGAGTGAACGATCTTTTAGATGACGATGTCTCTATTCCGCCACCATCATTTTCTCCTCCACCACCTCCCATAACATCAGACTTAACATCATCCCATGATCTCCCTTTATCGTCAATCCCCATTGTTTCTCCACCTCCTGATCTTAGTCCAAGAATGAAAGAATTTATGGAGCAAGACCTGTTTACTAGTGAAGATGATCAAGAAACAGGTAGTCAAGGATCTATTCATCAACAGGAGACTTCACAGGAATCTGGTGCTATGCTCACCCCGTCGAGTTCGCCTCGTAATGACACAATTGTAGGATGGGATTTCGAATCCTTGCTGGATGCTTGCAACGATTTGAATTCACACGAAAGCGATGATGTGTTGACGTTTGAACAGGGTAGTGTTACGGAGACTCATTTAGCGCCAGGAGACTCAAAACCAAAGCTCTCATCACCAGAATGGTCAAAGGCCAAGATCTCAAAGAAAAATGGTTTAGACAAACTGACTGAGAAACGTTCTGTAGTTCCTGTTGAGAGTAGCACGGATATTCAACCTCCTGCCGTGGGAAGTGGTAATGATTTGCTCTCCAGTGGAGCTAGGAACAAAAGAACAATACATGGACTGACCGACAACGATAAAGGTCTTCAAACCATAGTGAAACACCGTGACGTTACTGAGGAATTAAGAAGCTTGACACCACCAGTTTCACCTCTCCATTCTGAAGGCTGCAGTGAACATGAAGCGAGCGATGATGTAAAACCAGTAGCTGGAAGACGAGTGGAGAATGTTCCCTTTGTTATTACTTACCAGAAAAAGTTCAGAAGCCTTGGCATCAAAGTGGACCTATCAGGGGAGGGGAAGGTCATAGTGGCAGAAGTGTCTTCATTTGGTTTGGCGGGAAAAGATGGAAATATCAGGTATGAGTGACACAAACCTACGAGTACATATAGCAGAGCGAACTAGCTGTTTTTATAAACTGATGATATATTTGTAGGACGGTAGCTATTGTCCATGGATCAAATCTGTTCTTTGCTTGCAGCTATTGAATGAAGTGGAGCCAAAGATCGGATTTTTCCGGTTGTACTCAAACATTTTTTTTCTCAATTGTCGCTTTTTAAGAGATTAGCATTACCTGTGTTTTCTATTATGATCTCGGAGGTTGATGGTATTGTCGAAAGGTTTGTAGGCAAGTACATGTAGTTGATGGCATCGTGCTTTGTCGACCAGTCACCTTGTGCCAGTGTTTCAAAATGCGTTTTCGTGCAAAACCTTTTATATGAAAATCAGGAGTTTGATTTGCATGAAAATGAACCTGTAGTTATATGAATAGTTTTGCACGAAAACTTGTTTTTACACAGAGGCAAAGGGTAACTCGGAAATGGCCTGTTCGTGTTATAGTAAAAATTACTTTCCTCGTATCATAAGTCATTGTCCAATTGCAGAGTTGGAGATGTTCTTGTGTCCATTAATGATGCGTCACTAGAAGGAATGGCGCTTGAAGATGTCCAAGCCATGATCAAAAACTGCCCCAGAGGAGATGTGAGAGTCGTAGCACAGGCTGCACCCAAACAGGCAATACAAGATGAAACTGATGAGGAAGCTGTCTCTCCGTCCGCTTTAAAGGAACATGGTCAATCAGAGGAGGAGAATCATTCAAAGAGTAAAGCTGAGGAGAACACTGTGCCAGATGTGCTGTCAAACAGTGCAATCCACAAGCCTCGTGTGGACATGCCGAGTGAGCTAATCTCTGAAGGGAACTCAGACATTTCCACAGTTGCAAACGTGATTGAGACAAATCAAGAACAAGACGCTGAACGGACATTTAAACCTATAATTCCACCTGACGAAAGTCCAGACGGTTTCATCACAACAAAAGATTGTGATACTGTTATAGAGGACAGTGGACTGGAAGACGCAGATTTCAATGATCTACCACCACCCATTCCTCCTCCGGCAGTACCAACAAATGATTTGCAGATGGGAAGTTCTTCCGTCACTGTAGATGAGCCTCTGGTGCAGGACACTGTAGAGGACGTTTCGTTAAACCCACCAACAAATTTTGAGGATTTTTTTGATGACCACAACATGAATTCATCACCATCGTTTCATGATTCTGAAATGGACGGTTTAACACAGACTGCCGATGCTGTGCAGCTAGATTCGCAGCCAAACTTTCACTCCTCTGTTCAAAAGAGAAAAGAATCATTACACAAGACAGATGAATCGTACAGTTCAGTGGACAATGCCAGAATTCTATCTGAAGACAGTCAACCACAGATATCCATTAAACCCCCTAGTTTGTTTGGAGATGACACTGAAAGTATACCATCTGCATTACCACGAACGTTCAAGAAGAGTTCGAGTGTTGATGATGCGACTTCAATGGAGTCTGTGCAATGGAATGGGGTAGATAATGCTCCAATCAAACCACCGAGTTTGTTTGATGATGAACTTGAAAGTCTCCAAAGTTTGCCACAAGGTCCTCCACCTCCTAAACCTCCTAGACTAAACAAACAGTTCTTCAGTCTGGACACAGTGTCCTCGAATTCATCATCACCAATTCCGTCGTCTTGGTTTGATCGAGAATCGCCCAATCATGCATCGAAGTATTCAAATTTAAGTGCAGTTTCGGGATCGTCTTCACCTTATGGAAATAATTCGACATCAGGGGTGGCTATTCCATTCAATGATGCAGCAACGGAATCACCAGATGTTCCAGATGACGACATGTCCAGCCTACCGCCCGCACCACCGCCACCACTCTCCAGGTCATCCACGTGGTCTGTGTCTTCCGATGCAGTAGTATCTTCACCGCACGGAAATGAGAAAGTACCTCATATCACCAGCCCTCTCTCACAGCCAGTCAAACAGGAGCGGAAGAATTCCAAGAAAAGGATATTGCCTTTACGAATCAGGTCGAAAAAGGGCAGGAAAACATCGGAACAATCTGAGACATCTTTGCTAGCTGATCCTCACCAGGAGTCATTACCTCAGTCAAGTCCAATGGGATTTGGTGATGCGAACATTTCTAGTGATGTTAATCAGCCACCTGAAGATGACATGGAAAGCCTGCCACCTGCTCCTCCCCCACCAAGAATGTCACCTCTCACTGTGGAAAGCTTGGAGAGCATGGCTGATGGATTGCAGCCCATGAACTTTATGCATTCGAAACCCCATCTATCTCATCTGGCCTCTGACGATCAAGGAGCCTCAACACCAACTGGCGTAGAATCCTGGCATTCACCCCAGCACTCTCCAAAGAAGAAGAAGTCTTTTCGTAGAAATGTCATTCACATGGACGAAAGGGCACCTTTACCGAAGTCCTCAAGCTCGCCTAGCGATGTTCCCAGTGTGCCTGAGACAGATCTCACTATAGACAGCTCATTAACGCATCTTAGCCCACTGGAAGATGAGGTTACCGTGACAGATTCGTCTGATGCCATGTCACCACCCCCTCTTCCTCCAGAAATGGAGCTGTGGTCGGAGGCTGGAGCAGTGGAAGCTGAGCTGGCTCTATTGGATCAGATATTGACTTTGGAAGATTCTTCACGATCAGGGAATGAGCAAAGTAGCGATGCTGGGAGCTCGTCGTCAGCCAAACGTCCATCGTTTTCCGAAGATGTGTCATCAGTGGACGAGCAATCCACAGAAGTTCAGGAAGGACCAGTGGCTTCTAAATCTGAAGAAACATTTGAACAGAGAGATCTCATTGTGTCAAGGGAAGGTGTCCTAGATACAAACAGTGACACGTCATCGCTGCAAGGATTGCCTGACATAGAGAAAGGGGAACCAACTGAGTTGGAAGCTATTAAGCCCAGTTCTTCCTTCAACATGACAGACAAAAATGAGGATTTTGGAACTGATTTGGCTGTTAATGATTTTCAAGAGGCCACAACAAGTGAACTTGCACATCCGGAGCTGTCTGGTGAGCTGTTGAAGCAGCTAAGTGAAGGACATGACGTGACGGGGAATTTGGTCAAGCATAGAAGGCCAGCCCCTCCTGTCCCTACAAGACCTACCGTCAACACCAACAAAGCCAGCACCATTCCTCGAAAATCACTCCCAGGAGGTTTAGGCATAGAAGTACTTCCCTCCCGACCTGACATCAAGTCCAAGGCAGCTCCTCAACATCATCAACCAACCCACAAGCATCAGAAAGAACAACAAAACAAATCGTCGCCAGTTAAGGAGAAGACTTCCAAAAAGCTGTTCTCTAAAGGTCATAAACATAAGGACAAAAGAGCAGATCCTAACCATCTTGCGTCACCTGACACATCGTTTGAGATCAATCCCGATGGACGCGAGCGATCGCGTTCTTGGACTAAGAAACTGTTCGGTTTCCGTAGTAGAAGCAAGAGTCGAGACAAATCAAAGGATCGAGAGAACAGAAGTCGATCGGTTTCACCACCGAGAGGATTGTTCTCTAAGTCAAGGCGATCCAGTCCACCTCCTCCCCCACAGTCACCACAAAAGGCTCCTTTGAGTAAACACAAGAATGAAAGTAAGAAAGGCCCAGTTATTGACAAAATAGAAAAAGACCTCTCCGTTCAAGACACTGCAAAACGTCCAGTGCTTTTGCCAACAGTGCCGTCTACTTCAGAGATGAGCAATCCTCCATTCGACGAAGGGCGTTATGTGGAAGGAAACAACAATAAATGTGCGTTACCAGCAACATATGACGAGGAGCTCTTACATGTAGTAGAGAGGAACGTGCTGAATGATGAACCAAATACAGAACGTGCCATTTCAACAGTACAAGTAGAATCATACTACGAAGAACCTGGAGGTCAGAATGTCTATTTAAATCACGACGTGGAAGGACTATCAGATAATGGCGACCTCAGTAAAAATTTATCATTGGATCGTGATGATGTAGAGAGACCTGCTGCCCATTTGGAAGCGGATACATCACTGACAAACAGGCCACTTCCACCGCTACCACCATCACGTGAACAACATCTTGATCCAGTAGCCCTCACAAGAAATGTCGACGAGAACGAGCAGTGTGCTGATGAAGAGAGGAAGCCAAAAACATTTCCCTCAAAACCACCTGTGCCAAAGAAGCCAGCATTCCTTCAATTAGGTAGTACACCAAATACGCAACAGCAGAAAACTGTGGACGAACTAAAAAACAAATTTGACAAAGGTTCGTCTGACGAAGGTAGACTGGAAACAGCATCAAGTAGCAAAGAGAACCTTCAATTTGGTAATGAAAGCGACGAGGAGGTGGTTTTCGACGAGGATGATGATGTTTTACCCTCGCCAGGTCCACCAACTTTCAAACCTTTACCACCACCACTTACATTGCGAACAAGTTCCATTACCGATGATTCTGACGAGACGACAGGTAGTCCAAACTCACCTGGGCCTCCTCCATTTAAACCTCTACCGCCGCCCATAACTTTGAATTCCACTCCGGTACAAAATGACATAAAAAGTAACCAAGGACTGGATCCTCCAAGCTCGCCTGGTCCTCCAAGATTTAAGCCTGCTCCTCCAAGATTTAAGCCTGCTCCTCCACCAATAGATATGCGGGTACACAGCAAGAACACTGATTTCGAACCAGGAGACCTTCCCAGCACGGCTGATCTACCAAATGCAAAGCCTTTGCCCCCAATTCCCACTGCTGGTGCGATGCAAAGACGAGAGGAAGAAGCCTCAGTGAAACATAATGTTACAGAACATAGTTACGTTGAAAATGACGCAATGCCAGCACTAGAGAATGATGAGTGGAGAAAAACCAAACCTTTGCCCCTAATTCCCACAGGTTTTAACCTGAAGTCAAACGATAACAGCCACAAGCTTCCCCTTTCAAGACAAAATGCTCATGAATGTGACAGTGATGAAGACGCTGACACGCCGGAGTTATTAGAACGGACACCTGAGTTAGCTCGTGTACTGATCGACTTAATTGAAGACAGTAACTACTCACAAGTTTCACAAGTGGCAGAGCCATTGATGGTACAAAACGCAGTTGATCCTGTAAATGCTTCTCACAGCGATGACTTCGACAGCTCAGAAGTGTCGTCTGAATGGGATGATACTTGTAGTTCAACTCAAGGTGACCCTGGCCTGCTTGTAGCTGGTAATAGGTTTGTTAGGAGTGCTAGTTTCTCGGCTGGAGACGTTCACATTCAACGTCCTCCTGTTGCTGCAGATAACCAAAAGAAACGTATCCCTTCTGGCATTATGCGTCCTCCTCGTCCAATGCGTAGACGGTCGTCCTCATTACCTCAGCTGTTCCCAGAGTTAGCAGCTGTTGCCGCGTCCGAAGGAGGAGCGGGAGAGACAGATTACTGGCACACTGGAAACCTACAGCAGCTGATCAACAGTCGGAATCAGGAGCCAGATGTGGATGAAGGGATCATAGAAGTGCAGGTGAGTCCAACAAATCCAGGATAACAATTCTTAAAGGAGCACAGTCGCTGCATTTTGGGTTATTTTGGCTACGTAAGAAATTACCTTTAAATTGAAGGAAACCTGAAAATAATAATTTACTAAGATAGAAAAAACCTAAGAGACAATAATAAACCGTAAAGGTATATGGATGGTTAAGGATGGAGAAGATAAACGGGGATTACAAACGACGAACTTGAAAAATGTAGGCTAAACTTTTCAAGATGCGCAAACCGTGACGTAACTCCTTTAAATCAAACCTCGTGCGCTAATCGAGTGTGTGACCAATTTAGTGAACGATATTTAGCAGTGTGTTCGTGTGATGCTGTTTATTTTGCGGTACAAGGTGTTACAACTCCGTGGAAGAAACTCTAGTGTGTGACCGCTCAAATGAAAGCTATTGAGCAGTATGTTCACGTACTGCTGTTCATTATGCTGTACAAGGTGGTTCGAAGGATTACAACCATGTGGTTCTGATGTTACTATCAATAAGGCTAGGGATAGTGACTTTGTAAACTCCCCTCTTCAGTGGAGTAGGACATTAGTGTGTTGACAACTGATCACCTATACAAGCGTCTACAATGCAAAAGTGAAAGTCATGTCTGGTGGTACACTGAAGTCTGGTGGTACACGGAAATCTCATTCAAAAGTTTGATGTCATAGTAAATGCTTGTGCTTGATGTATCCTTCTCAAATAGAATCTTTCTGGATCAAAGTATTTTGGCACTTCGTTTTGTATATTATCAGTGGCGGATCTAGGGGAGGGGGAGCCGAGCCTCTCCTTGTTTTGGGTAATAAAAGAAAAAATCACAGAAGGAAGAAAAGCCTGCAGGGCAAGCAAAACAACCCCCCCCCCCCCCCCCCACCCCTTAGCTCAAGGTCTGGATCCGCCACTGATTATGGTTTTTAAAAAAGCGTTTGGATGATATGTTGAACATTTTTGGGATTTACTGTGACCCATCTTTATTGCAAATTGCTACCACTAAACCTTACGTAAAGGCAACCAAAACCTATTTATCAGTTCATGGAATAAGTTAGTAAATAACCATAGTAACTGTTTCCTTCCCGTGTAGCTTCTTAAAGAACAGCAGTCTATTGGCTTAATGGTTGTTGGAGGCCTAGACACTCATCTAGGTATGCTTTACATCAAAGATATCCAGCCTAACTCTCCAGCTGCCAACTGTAACCGACTGAGAACAGGGGACCAACTGTTACAAGTCAATGATAATTGTTTGGTAGGCGTGACACATGGTGAGGCGTTGAACATCCTTAAGAATACTCCACCCCTGGTCAAACTCACTGTGGCGAGAAAGAAAAACAGCAAGAGCGATGGTGCTGAGCTAGTGGCAGAAGGAAGACGCGTCACCGACCTTGAAGAACCAATAGTCTCCAGCGCACGTGAGTCAAGCACCATTTCAAAGACCTCGTCAGAATTATCTCTGAGTCCACCGACTGATAGGGGCCAACGACCTAAGTCATGCGTGAGCCTCTCCTCATTTGGGACCCCATATCACAGTGGTGACCATTCTCCAGGATCACCTTGTGGTTCCTTTGATGAACCTGATGAGTATCTCCCAGCGTACCTTCAGCCAGAGAGCCCAACACTGAACTTGCGTCAAGATGACGTGCCTGTGACCATTATTGATGGCATTCCGGGTGAAGACGATGAAAGCACCGAGCAGGAGGAGGAAGACGTTCGTCCTGTTAATAAAAGCGTCAGTTGGGCGGTCAGCAGTGATGACTGCAAGGTCTTTACTGTGGAACTCCTGAAAAGTGGCCGAGCTGGTCTAGGGATGAGCGTTAGTGGAGGAGTGGACACGCCTTATGATGACATAATGGTGAGTCAGCATCTTAATCTTGTCCAGCCACACACCTTAACTCCCTTACATTTCCCTTCACTTCGCATCCTACTCTCAATCTCTCCGTGCCTGTAGTCCAAGTTTTCACTTTCCGTAACCTCATTTGTCTTGTCTTTTTCTTTCTCTGGTACTTCCACTTGCTTCCTGCTCTCCTTCCCTTCTTCTGTCCTCCTCCCCACTTTCTACTCTCTCTTGCTTTACCCTTCACCCGCCCTCCCTTCCATAACTCCCTTCTTTCTCTTCGTCAACCCTTATTCCTCTCTTTCGTCTCTCCTCCCAACTCCCTCTGATTATAATGATATTTTCAAACGCCACTTTTGTCTTTCAATGTTACCGTCATTAAACATTCTTTGCTCTGTAGGCTGATGAATAAATAAATCTACCAGTGCAGAGGAGAAACTATCCATGACCTATCAGATACGCCTGTTGTCATTACAGTCGAACCTCACTACTTCGAACTCGCAGAAGAAACAAAAAAATAGTTCGAAATAGCGGGAGTTCGAAATAGCCGATAGTAAATGACTGAAGGGTATATCCGAGGAAAATGATTTTGAGTTCAAAATTACGGGGAGTTCAAGATAACCGAGTTTGAATTAATTAGGCCAACTGTTTTTGTTAAGATAGAAGAGGTAACCCTTATGAATCTTTCTGTTGCTAGGTACGCCAGATCCTCTCCAGCAGCGTGACTGCTCACAACGGACTTATCAAGAAAGGTGACATCTTGTTGTCTGTGAACGGCAAGTCTTTTAAAGGACTAACGAATGCAGAAGCCTTGACACTCCTTAAAGACACGCCTGAACGGGTGACGCTTGTCGTAAGTCGGGCCCTGGGACCTAAGCAGTTCGCCAAACCCATGACGCTTCTTCGAAACAAAAACGCCAATAAAGAAATCACTTCTAGCTCTGAGGCTTGGCCAACAAAGGAGGAACTGACCAAGAAGAAAAACCTAGCAAATACAAATAGTAGCACACCGCCAACACTTGAAAAAATTCCACTAGACCTCGTTAAACAAAACGGAGAGCACTCCACTTTCGAACGTCTAAAGAAGAGACTTTTCTCTAATGGCGGGACCATGAGTATAAAAGAGAAACTTCAGAAAGTACCCCAAGGGCCCGCGGTGATTGAGATTACCCTTGAAAAGGGGGCATCTGGATTGGGGTTCTCTCTCGGTGGGGGCCAGGACTCGTTGTACGGCGATGCGCCAATACATGTAAGGTATGTGTTCAAAGACAGCGTGGCCGGGAGGAGTGGTGTTTTGAGAGCTGGTGACGAGATTCTTGAAGTGAATGGACAGAGGGTGACCTACATGACGAATGTTGATGTTCTTGAACTCATTAGAAGTTTGCCTTATGGACCAGTGGCGATGAAGATAAGGCGGAAGTAACGTTACACTTGAAGCAGTAACCATAATCATCACAACTGACCAATCACAACACCGCAATACAGCAGTGAGTCAATCAGACTTCGCAGTGTAAAGCGCGGGAAAACACGCAACCGGTGCAAAGCGCGGGGAAAGTCATGAGCCCAAGTGACCGTCAGTTTTGGTTTGGCACCTGATTGGCTGAGAAAACGTTTTTTTTTTTATTGGCTAGACATGGTAACATGGGTCTTTTCAACCAATCACAGAAGTCAACAAAGGATACGACAGCCAATAGAAAACCCTCAAATGAGATTAATTTAGGAGGGTTGAATGACTTAGTGACAGACGTATTCACATCGGTTTTTATTTGTAACTATATTGTTTTGTAAATTTGTGCATGCTAGCAACTTTTTAGATGATAAAACTAAACTCTTGCAACACGTTAGTTGAAATCTCGAAATTTGTATATAAGATAGTTATATGATGTCGGGAATCGGTACAATTATATATCTGAACAATCTTGGCAGGCCCAAGCCTCTGCTATGATAGACAGACAAAATCGCTTTATTATTGGATAATCAAATTTTAGAGGTGCTAAGAAACACAATCCTTATGTCGGCTTTTCATACGCAGGTCTGTCTAGTTATTGACTATAGAATGGTACTATAGCATTCTAGAACATCTAAAGAACAATTTTAAAACATTTTGTGAATGAAAGCAAAAACTATTGATGATTAACAGCAACAATGACATGTCTTAGAACATAAACAGTATATGATTTGTACTGGATACAAACATTCAAACTACTCAAACATTTTGCATCGCGTCAAAGATAAGTTGTAAATAAAATTATTTAATTTTTTTGTAGGATATTCTTTGTGTTATTGTTTGGCTTATATTTATGAGAGCTCTTTTAAGAGTCACTGCCTGGAAATATCGAGAATCGCTGCCCAGGGGCCCGTTTCTCGAAAGCCCCGGAAACTTTCCAGGCCCGCGAAGCCATTTTAATTAATCTGTATCTAAAACCAGAGAAGTGTATACTCCTGAAACGTTTTGTTTGAAGAGAACCTCTCTTCATATTAAGAATACTTGAATAAAACAGCTCTGTAATCATAAGGTTTGAGATTTTGCTGACTTTCCGGGTGCGAAACCTTTTCAGGACCTTCGAGAAATGGGCCCCCAGGTTCGAAAAAATCCAAAATTATACTTTGCTTGAGGAGCACTTTTAAGGAACTATCTTCAAATGCACCCTTGTCACTTTCTAAAAATTTACAGTTTTCGAGAAATTCGCAAAAATAGAAGACGAAGTTCGCCTCATTAATTATGCAGAAATTAAGATGAAAATTAGCAAACTTTAGCTCTGAAAACCGGATTATGGCGATCCGAAAACCGCTTTTTGCCAATCCCAAAAACCGGTTTTTGTCGACCCCAAAACCGGTTTTTACAATCCTAAACTACGGCCCTAAAACTGTTTTTTGTCGATTCCAAAATGCAACAGGTGTTGTACGATCGCAAAAACGGGTTTTTTTTACGATTCTTAAACTGGTCTATGACGAACGGTTCATTACGTGACGAATCCTGAGGATGCTAGCTTCTACCTCCCCCTACTTCTTCCCCACCAAGGTGGGGTGGGGCAAGATCGAAGATACACCCTTGGAAATATAAGTATTTTTAAGAGGCAGGCATCATAGAGACACTGTGTAATAAAGGTTCTTAAAACTTGGACGAAATTTTGTACTCTATAGTACCGGTCATTTCCCTGTGAGCGGTGGGTGTTTATTTGAAAAAAATCGTCGGATGTTATGAAAAAATTTAGCTTGCTTTTTCGCCCAGAAATAACACAATCCACAAAAGAAGTTAAATTCAAAAAGGCGACTGAACAGTGTTGAGGACTGTGTAAGAATCTTGACAAAACTTGGCAAGAATCTGCTGCTCCAGAAAGTATCCACTGTGGGTTCAATGCCTTAACACTCCATCCCCACCCCTCCCAGTCAGAATTTCCAGTAACCCTCTGTGGAGGTCTGAACCTTGTTTTGAACCTCATAATGCGCAAGTTATTCTACCAAAAGAACCTGATCTCTCAGCTTTGTGTATTACCATGTACCTGCATTTTTAGTATTGTTGAATTTTGTGCTTTTTGAATGAATATACAACATGAAATCTTTTATTGAGTCTACATTACCACTGTAAAATACCCTTACCTTAACAGTATTACTGCTGACAGTTGCTGTACAGAAACTGGCTTCAATTCTCACACAATGGAATGCTATTTGCAACTACTGACAACAGCTAACTTGCAGAATTGTTTCTGATCACAGATCAAAAACAAGTAAAATTACAATTTATGGAGCATGATGTATTTCCTTGATTAAGCCCCACTTTGGATGCTTAATGCCAAGTTCTGTTATCAATCAGCTTTATTGAGTCAGCTTTATCTTTAAAACAGCAACTATTTTTGGCAAGAAAATTGGGAGTCATTCTCTTTTCTCTTTATACAATCATTTTGACATCTTTTCTAAAAAGAGTAATGTGTTTATATTTGAAATTGCATGATTCTATGCGAGTACTTAATTGAGGAAATACAGCACAGGTATTTTCATTAACAGTGGAAAAAATGATAAAATCTATGTTTCTACTCCTATCTTAGCTTCCAGGTCGTCAGTTATTGCAATTACAAGTGTATATCAAGTCACAAGGTCACAAAAGTAAATTGCCTGAAATTACAATTTTAAAAGCTTGAATTTTAAGAGAACCACCTTTCTTATTTTGCATCTGCTCCTTCCACTTAGAATGAGCAAAGTATGAGAAATTACATCAATCTCTAAACCCGGCTAATTGCAAATATCGTCCCCATACTCTGTCTGTAATAAGCTTTTCAGGTTTAGAGAGAATGTTCTTTACATTTATGACAACAAACATTCTCTTCAGTGCCCCTTTAACTTCTTAAGTACCATTAAACCAATCCATAGAACATTTACTTTTGAGGTTTACACAATTCTGAATTGCACTTAAATAAACGTGACCGCATAACTAACTTTAACCTCTAACTCAAATAATCATCCAGCATTCCTGTTGGTCTCCTTGACCACCCACTTTCTTGCTAGCTACTGGAAACCGGTACATATTACAGTTATTCTTATTTTTAACAATCCTCGCGTGTCAACAAGTCAGGCCATGATATTCCTTTTTGTCAGACCAAAAAATAAAGAACCTAAATTTAGTTTTCACAAGCCACATTACTTTAAAAATCTGTACTTCTACACAAAATTTTTGAGTCATTCTTATTATTACACTTTTCACCAGAAATACCAGAGATATATTACAAATGAGATCTTTAACAGTTTGAGTGAGACCGATAGGAGTTTCAAGGACATTCAAGCACCATTTGACAGGCTGTCAAGGCTTTCAGGGCTTTCACTTTTGGACTTAAAATTGAAGGAATGAGGGTACCAGTAACTCACATCCTAACACCATTTGTAAACAATAAGTAAATCGCTCATCAACACTGTGAGACAAACAACCACTAACCAAAGCTAGAAAAATATATATTGCCCTAGTAGGCTTTTTGTGCTAAGAAGACAGTGGATTGTGCAAAAAATATGTACCAACTGTATGTCCTATATTGATGAGTGTAGTATGACAACAGGATGGTAAACTGACAAAGTAACTCGCCCAGTGGCCATTGATTCAACATTAGATCTATCGCTGTATTGATTAGACTAGTACGACTATCAGTGCAGCAAATGTGCACAAGTTCCTGTGGCTAATTTGATCCGTGCTATAGTAGGAAACATTTGCCTGGGTTAAACAAAATGTTGCAATTAAATTGCCATTCCTATTAAGTTGATGTAAGATCTAATTGTGAGTGAAAAAACACGTAACGATACATTGAGCCCTGTATGGCAGATTGCAAAGACAGGATGGATAAGTGATCCTAAAAGAACCTGCCAAAAGGTAAGCCTAGCCCAGCCAATACCATATGATGCTTTCACATAAAACAGAGATCTCACAAGTTTTTGGCACTCTGTCTAGTCATGAAAGTGGCAAAAACCTAAGAAAAACAATAATTGTGTTCACTCAAATTGTTTTCCAAACAGCACATTTTTGAAAGCAGAGATTTAATGTCCTCTTATAGCAAGAAATGAAGATTTAAACAAAGATCATGGAAGAATAACCAAACCTTGACATCAGACTTTATTCAAATGACAGCCTCTCATCATCACCATCAGTGTTGCCATGATTTCACAAAAAAATCCCACAGATGGAATACTCTTCCTCTTAAGTCAATTTTCAGAAAAAAAAAATCTCTGTTTTCATATGAAAACTTAATTTCTTTGTGCGTCTGGGGTCTTCAATACAATAAGCTAAGAGAAGGCTATATATTCTCGGCTTCTAATAATTATACAAAAGTGATACTACATGTACCTAGCTTTAACCAATATTATTTTGTAACAGTGAGTGCTTATCCTAACCGCAAGTTCAAACAGGTTGTACATTTACACATACTTGATATGTCATTGACGTCATTGCCTGTGTATAGTGATAATTAACTGGCTAATTCCTACCTAATGTAACACTGGCCCTTTATTTAATGAATGCCGAGATGACACACCACATGACCTCGTTGGCATTTGGTTTCTGTGCTTGCTCTTCAGGTTCCAGATCTAGGAGATCTCGCACCCTTTTCATGGCTAGTTCATAATCATCATCAGAGAGTGGAGCAAATGCGTTCTCTAACACATCAGAAGAGTGTGCAAGATAGATGAGAGACAATGTCCTCTTGTCCATTCTGTTAGGATCATTTACCCATTTCGATAAAACAGCTTCTTGAACTTTGCGCACTACTCTCTGTTTGGACACGCTATCAACAAGAGGATGTGTCGTCATGTCGAATAAGAGGAAATTCTGTTTCTCGGTTGTAAGAACACCCTTTTCCACTAGATTCTTGGCAAGACGTTCACGGACATTTCTAAGCTGATACCTTAACTTCAGGGGGTTCCAGGTCTCACCTACAAAAAAACATCAGTTTGGGAGTGTGCTTAAGGAGGAACAAGCTAGTTCAGACATACAATGGGCACTGTAATTAAATGATTTAGCTGAGCCCTCTTTCCAATAAGAAGCAGAAGATGGAAGTATAGTATCACTAAAGACCACCTGGAGTGGGAAAAAATAGTGAGACAATCTCAGGTAGTGCAGAGTGCAATGTACAGGTCTGACACATAGTAGTAGCAAACACAGGTCCTAACAACCAGTCACCCCCTTGCAGACTTTTAGCCAGGATTTAAAAAGCAGGCGTCCAACATGTGCTATAGGACCTGCTCAAACAAATAATAATATTATTTTCAAGGCAACATATGAAAAATAAAACAATTTTCTTTAAGAAGTGGCCATCCACAGGAAGCCTGGACGGCCATCTAGCTAAAAGCCTTTCCCCTTGGTGGTTAGCTAGGGCTTTTTCCCTTGCAGAATATGAAGGGACAGAAACGTCATAGGCCAAATGTGCAGTGGAGATTCTCCTCGATAGCACAAATAAAGAAATATAAAATTCTACTCAGCTCGTTTAAGAATCTCAACATGTTTACAGTAAAATAATGTTAAGAAGTTCTTGAGAAGATTATTTTTGTCAATGGCACAGGCATACTGGGAAAAAGAAATTGCTGGCCTGTGCCAGGCTAGGCTAGCGGGGAGGTGGGAAGGAATAAAAATAAAGAACTCTGGTTCTAGCTATGCCAGCCTGATTAACAATAACTTCTTGAAACAAAATACCGTTTTTTCTTAGTGGAATCCAGTTGCTTTTCCCTAAAATGATTTTGATTTTTATTCTTCCGATACTTTGTTTGTACCACAAAACACGATTGGCCCAGAATTGTATAACTTCAGCCAACACAGTAACAATAATTAATGGCCCATGTTGTTTATATTATTTGTCGTGTTGAAGACAAAATGTTAAATGGATTCATTTTAGTTTATCAATCTCAACTTAAGAACATCAGCTGCAAAACACAGACATCACACTTCCGAAGTTCAAGTTTTTGCTGAATAAGAACTCAAACAATTTATTCCAGCTGAATATGTATCGTCGAAAACAGCACGCTAAGAAGTGACACGTTTCTGGTCCCGATGGTCTCCAAGGCCTACCAAACTCATTTCCATAAGGCCTAAAAAAATTCTGATCATCCGCGCAAAACACCTTAAATTATCAGGCGCTAAAACGGAATATTTAACCACTAAAACCGCGTTATATATACTTTTCTGTGAACGACTTTCGGCTTGATGTAAACACGAATGAAGGAATTTGATTTTCCATACGACACGTTACATCTGCCCTTGATCATTGCAAATTTATCGCTAGAAAAGTAACCTTGGTAGCTTTGGACTTTAAAAGCGGTTTTTGAAACGTAGAATAGAATAAGGCAAGAACAAATGCACTTCGCAGAGCTAGATTTAAGTCATGACCAGCCAATAAAAGTGGTCACAGATGGCATTAATAATTTGTCACCGTGTTACGTTCGACGTGAAGTACTCACTTACCACTCAACAGTTCAATCCAGTTCTGCGCTGTATCTGGTGGGTCAGTCTCTTTGATGTGCTTCAAGGCTTCATCCAGTAATACATCGCCTGTTAGGTTATCATTCTTGTACAGAACTCGCCTGTTCAGCAAGCTCTTTCGTCGCATTCCGGTTTTCTCCAGTTCGATTCGCCCTCTCAGGCCCAGTTCGATTATCATACACCCGCGCAGCCCCGATGAGATGCAATCATTCCAAAACGACGTGTAACCCTAATTAGAGAAGGGAAAACGTCCATTAAACAGATAACTACATAGATCTACGTCAAATGCAAGCAAGAAATCCTTACCTCTTTGTCTTTCAGCCCCAGCAGTAGCACTTCTTCCATAAGAGTGAGTCTCGTCTCTTTCCTATCACCAGATTCCTCGTCGCTTTCGTAACCTTCGTTGCCTTCGATGTCGGGATTGTCTTCTGGTGATATTCCACCAGTCGCAGTACTACGCTGAACTAACTGCCCGGTTCTTCTCGTTGCCATCGTAAGACAAGAGAAGAACTGACTAGGAAAGGATGAAGAACAGCTGCGACAAAACAACCATAAACTTCCCCGCTATTTTACCAAGATGGCCGTGTTGGCCGGTTTACAATAGACACCGATCGAACTGGCCCATGGGTAAGTGGTTAAAGCTGTGACCGACCCCTCCTCCCACCCGACCCTCTTTTGCTTGATTTTAAATCGCATTTTTTTAGAGCTTCACTAGATTGCTAAGGCGCCCCTTATTTCTCAATAAGAAAATGACGATTGTTATATTTTATTGTCGAGAACTATTTCATATAAAGAAATGAATGAACTGCGTGATTTTCGAACTTGCTTCAAGTACTTTTTAACCGCACTAGACAACGAAAACTGGCAAAAACTCGAAGCTGATCAAACAGGGTACAGTTTGTGTACACTTACTTCTGAAATCTACAATTCAAACGTGTCCATGCTACGCTTGGAAACAAAAGGTTGCCGAGTCTTCTTTTTTTGGTTCGTGTTTACTTTACAGAGTAAGCGGTGAAAATGCCCGAACAATCTACAACAAGAAATAAGTAAATCATTCAATTCAATAGACCAATTTCGATATATCAAAATGAGCCTAACATAATAGACCCCAGTACGAGGCTCTGGGGAATAACTACAGCGTTTGTAGAGTTTATTCCCCAGAGCCTCGTGCTGAGGTCTATTATAGTCCATATTGAGGTCTATGGCTGAATTTTAATACATCAAAATCGGTCGATTGTCAAAGGATAAATTTTGAAGATTTTCAAAGCGATTCCAGGGGAAGACTTGCATTTAAAAAATTTCGGGGATGTTCGTCGCCTCGCTCAGGAGTGTAAATCACTGATTTTGGTCTCACTCAGAGTGTCCAAGACGAAACGCCACTATTTTTAGCTATCAAGGTATTCTTCACTCGATGAAATAATCAAAAAACGCTGTCATGCCCGTTTAAAACTAGTATCTTTGCGGGGGTGGCTCAATTAAAGCTGGAGCCACGCCTCCTTTTAGGGTTTAATTCAAATCTTGCGACAAATATCCCCAACCATTTCACATGGGTGTTCCCCCCTGAAAGCGATTTGTACGTCCGTTTTACATAAGCAGTCCTGACATTTCGTGAGAAATATATGGAGTGAAGTAAATTAAAGACAAACGATAGACTGCAAGGCTGATACTACGTGGAAAACGTTTCGAGACACCAACATGACAAGAACCGATAAAGTAGGATCGCAACAATGGACAGCTGTTTCGCCCTTCTTGGGGCTCATCAGCACTGTGTAGCGAAGATATGTAACGCCAGCCCAACAGCCAACGCACATAAATTGCAAAATGACCCGTTCACTATATTACTAAGTTCCGTACTTTGAACTCACTTGCGCCCCGAAACACGCGTTGCCACATCACGTGTTTCGGGGTGCAAGGAGACAAAGTGTCAAGATTGGTGTCTCGAAAAGCAAAAGAATAAATGTGGCTGGACAACGCCAGCCTAAACATTTAAACATTCAACCGCATGGCCAGTACCATGCTTTAAAAAAAAGAAATCGATTGATGTCCAAAAGCTAGGACTGATGTCAGACTAGTGAAAAAAGCCATCTTGAATTTTCGAAAAAATTTGCATCTTATCATGATTATCACAACACGTCACTTAAAGCTAAAATTAAGGGTGTTTTAACAGGTTGTAGCGTAGCTATTAAGCAATGATTGGCCATTTGCGGACCGTTATTGTAGGATCACATGACAAAGAGTGGTATTATTGATTAATCCGAGTAGAAGTGATGGAAAGAGCTAGAAACTATTGTCAGCCGGACAAGAAAAATGACAAGAAAAAAAGGAGCCTCATGTCTTTCTCCTCTCTTTCCTTCGAGTTCCCGCGAGTTGAATATATTTATATGGCTGTCAAAATTAAATATAACGAAAAACACCCATGATTAAAGCCTTGAATGTAAACCTCACGAGTCAAAAATCGACAAAAAAGCGCCGGATCCGCCAGTTTGAAATAAATTTACACTGGGTGTACTTTATCGAGAAAATAGGGTTTTTGTGCCTGAAAACAAGATGTTGCACAATTCATTGATTAGCGTTTCATGTCTTTCCTTGGGGTAACAATCGCACTGTGGTCACTAATCGAACACACTCCCTAATCTATGATTAATCCTACGTTTCTTTTTTAATTACACGGATGTTACTGATCTCAGCGGTGGATCCTCTCCATCGCAGGCGCACCGAAACACCCACGGCTGGAGAATGAGCCAACCCTCGCTTCTGCTCAGTGGGTTTGTCCGAGGTTTGTCCGGCTCAGGTGATTTTGCCGGAGGAACTGAAACGAGAAGACGAGTCACGTGTTATTTAAAAGTTGAACTGGCGACACATGCGAGTCCGTAGCAAACATGGGTCTGTTTATAAGATCGAGGTGAGTCCATTTCTCTTGCTAAAGTAGTGTTCCAGCTCTGTCATCTCCCTTTCTCTTAAACCAGTTACTCTTTTTTCCAGTCAAGTTTAATTTTTGGTGTTCTCGTTTTCTTTGGTTTGGTTCGGTTTAATGGACTACTGATGTATTATATTTACACGGCAGATATATCTAAAAAGCCGAAATAAATCGGTAAAACAGGAATGGACGAATGTTTGGACAAGAGTCTTCTTGTGTTCAGTTTCTCTGTATACTATGGAAAGAGTTGAGAGACAAAAGTGGGTATCATACATTATCACTCGAAACGAGACTCAACTCTCCTCGACTTTCTGGCCAACTCTGAGCCGCTGTGAATTGGATGAAAACACACTCGGTAGATGTCGATAACAGTTTACAAGACTTAACTATCAAACCATAGTTTGAATTGTCGTTTAATCTGTCAGTCCTCGAGAGGTGTTTGATCCTGATAGCTTAATGCGTTTCAAATGATGAAAACGAAGTATAAAATTGTACTCGCTGTGAAAGAGTATTGGTGAAAACAGGACCCTTCCAAATACTGAAAGCGCTGAGAAACCAACGAACTAGTTCAACCACTTTGATTTTGCTTCGATGACTGTACGTGACACGAAATGAATTTATAAGAAGAAGAGACCCCGGGGATCTAACGGACGTGATCTGATTATCCAACCACTAGAAACAACACCCGGGTCAAGTGGTCTAAAGAGTGTTGTGGTTTTTTAATCCTACTTTACTCCTAATTTACAGGATTGTTTAGGTGTGGCAAAAAATGGCCTATTTAGACATGTTCTCCAGGATATTCTGAATCGGTGCGTCTTAATCTATCTTATTGAATGCATAAAAAAAAGAAAATAACTCTTCACTGGTAACTATTGACCATGCTATAGGCTGTAACTTGAACCCGCAGCCACCAAAAACGCTTTTTTGGTGTGTTCAGCTGTTTGACTATAGCTGTTTAAACCCCAGCAGATTTCACTGCTTTTACTGAAAAAATTCACCACAGAAGTTCCATTTTACAGGTCAAGTATGGTTCACAATACTTTTGTCTTATAAAATAAAGAATCCTTCTACGCCTACCTGTAAACGTCTTCGAGCTTTTCCTCTGGTCAGGACAGAGTCACGAGCTTTCTACAAACAAAAACTGTGGTAAATCATTTTTGGAGAAACATTGCAGACAGTCTGTTAAGTTTTCTTCTTTTTTTACCTAGTTTTGACATGTCACTAACATCAACGTACGGTGAAAATCTTGTTGTGATGTTTTCCTTTTTACACACTTGGCGAAAAACCGCCTGTAGATGAATGTTGCACGTGCGATTTTGAAGCCTGTGATTGGCGGAGAAGTTTGGAACCCAACTGAAAGATGTCAAAAGCTGTCAAAAGTTGTTTCACTTTAATAAGTAAACCAGTGAAAAGGAACATCAAGAGCACGTTTCTGCGAATCTTTGTTTCAGCGGTTGGTCTCTCTGGAAACCTCTTATGTCATTCTCTATATAATCTCATTTGAGACAAAAATAAACACGACTTGCATTGCCGTAACACTCTGGAAAAGCAAAAGTGACGGTTATATTTTATCACACGTGAAGTTCTTGACTATAGCGCTTGCGATCCACAACCTTTAAACAGAAAGCTTTTTCCGGTCTTGAAGTATTTGCTTACAATAATTTTTGTGATATGGTAATTGAAGGTGTAAATTGCGAAATTTCTTTTATTCCTATAACAAAGGAATTCCATTGGTTCAATGACTTTGTCGTGATATTTACTGTTTTAAGGCACGTTTGAGTGTTTTCCTGCAGTACAGGAGTACAAACGGATGACTTTTATACTTCATGTTTGAAAACTTCATAAAAAGTCTTCGAAACTTCCTTCAAGTTTGTGATAGCTTCCAAATCACTAGAGTATCATTTCACTGATATTAGAAAGTGATTGACAATTAGCTCTGTTTACGGACACATCAACAAAAAGACTGTTTGCTTTTATCGCCGTCAATGATCCAAGCTTTACAAAGAAACCGGCTGGAACGTCATAATGTTCAAACAAGTCCGTTCCCGCTTGAGTATTTCGCATAAAGAACCGTTGGATGTTGTGTTTGATCCACCTAGCGGATTTATTGATGTGAATGGGGTAGACATGGAGGGCCAAAGTGATGCTCGAAAGACAGAGTAAGTGTTGACAGTTGAGGGTAATGTCTAGTTAAGTTAGAACCACTTACTAAACTTGTGGTATTTTAAGAAGAGTTTTAATGAGTTGCGTTTTTGCTACCGGTTTTTTGTTTGTTCTTGTAGTTCCTTTGGTAGCAATTAAATATACATGCTAGATCTAGAACGCCACTTTCGCTGACTAACTCGACCATTTGTTTCAAGACTACGACTCATTCTACATGTCTTTCAACACGTCTCCATGTTGTTCCGCTTCACCGGCTAGGAGCTTAGCTGATTTACAAAAGCCAGCTTCTTATTTAGACGGCAAAAGATCACCCTGGGAAACTTTTAACCACTGTTCTATCTAATTACATTTACCTCTATTTTAGTCGACCTAGTATTCATTTTACCAACATAGCTGATATATAAAACTTTTGAAAAACCTATCGATTGTATACCAGCAGTACTTATATAATACACTCCCTTTAATTCACCATGAATTATCAATAGCCAGTCCGGCATAAGAACAGTATTTTCTAACTATAGCTTAACTTATTATTAAGAAATAGAAAACATGTACTGTGTTTCTATCCATTTTTAGTAGAATTCTACTCGAACAGTAATGCAAATGCTGCAAGACCAGAAATAATTGGAATCGATATTCGAAGCAAATTTCAGTTAGAATTCTACTAAAAAGATTCGATTATTCGCTCTCAATTTCTATGAGGTGGTAGTTGATTCGGCCGAGCTATCACCTCATAGAAATCTCGCACTCATAATCTAATTGTCAGATGGAAGCACGATTTTAAACCAATCCGCGAGCGTATTTTCTTTGGGCTATTTTCTAATCTAACAATTAAATTATGAGCTCGAGAGTTCTATCGCGTGATAGTTGACGAGGGCTGCGCCCTCGTCAACTATCACGCACAGAAATCGAGAGCGAATAATCTAAATGTTTTAGTATAAATCTACTAGTCGTTCAAAACTTTATCTAAATCCTCTTCACAGACACCTCGAAAACACAAAGAAGCGGCCGTCATTTTGTTAACAAGCGCATACTACTTGGCTACTCACTGAGTAGCGTAGCTAATCAGAGAACGACGTTCGTGATAGAGCGCTAGTAGATTTATACTAAAAGCAGATATTAGCAGATATATACTACACAGTGCACCACATTGTCGGGCTGAATTAGCGCTATATTTTAATTTTATCTTTATCAAGAACCATCGAGCACGACACTCCAACTACATTTAGCATTCAGTCTTATTTTGGAAGCGTTTTTTTTTTTTTTTGAATGCTTTCATACGTAGGTGTGAGATACTGTGTGAATGATATGAGCACCTATGTAAGAAACACAAGGGCATTGTTTTATGGACTTAAAACTGACTTTCGTTTCAGTTATTTCGGACGCAGCCATGAAGCTCACAATGAACTGAAATGAAAACTTTTGAAACTAAAATGTAGTGCAGCCAAAACAATTGCTAGACGAGCAAAGCAATTTTGGGTGTTTGCTGTAATTTCTTGTATCCTGTAGAAATTTCTGTCGCCTTTATTGATTTATTCAATTTTCACTGCGATTATATAACAAAGAAAAAAATCCTAAACGATATTACAAAATAATAATATTATTAATAATAATTGTAACAACCACATTAATAAAAAAAAATCTTAGTACATAAGAAGGCAGTGAGGTAGACTAGAAGGGAACTGACGAACCATACGTGCTAGTCAACCCATTATGAAAATAAAATGTATGAATATATAAAAGCTTAATTTATTGATATAAGCTTCTGATAGTCTCTAGAGGTGACCAACAGAAGTCTCAAGAGGAGAAGACATATTAACTTATTTGCCTTGATATTGTGTTATTTCCTTTTTGTGCTCGGACTAGGTTTATTCCTAGATGGTATTAGCACTGCTTCCTCTTTCCGTGTATAATATTTCTCAGGGAAGTTCGACAGCTCGGGTTTTACCATGATATTTTTTTGTCAAAAGCCCTTATCTTACGATATGCGTCCCCTTAAAAATCTTTAAATTTGAAAAGAAAACTCGTCCCTCTTGGTAAAAGTAAGTGGAGAAGGCTTTGTTTCTGTATTTTTTGGACAAATTGAACTGTATGAAATTAAAACTGGTCATCAATCGTGGAATTTGGCCAGAGAGTGTCTGAAATGAATTATAATTTATAACAACTTCCTCTGGGTTTACTATCCTAAAGTCTTTAAAGCGCAGTATTTCCTTTAACATTCAAAGGCGACATTCGACAAAAGTAAATAACCTGAAATAAGCTGGCTGTCGCGACAATCTCAAGAATATTTGGTGCCAATGCATTAAATTTGGTGTTTGGAATGTCCTAGCAAACGAAATAAAACCTGCTGATTATGCATATCATAGATATATTTTCTTTTTCATGATATCTTGGTCATTTTTAGGTTTTTCTATGCTAAATGTTGTTAAATACTCGACCAATAATATGTTGGACAAAACGACGTAATCAACATGAAATTGTGGATATCCAAGCCTGGCGTGGTTACCTAGACACGGTTATGAGCAAAGTGCGAAGAGTTGACACAAAAGATGAAATATCCTTGAGTAAACCCGGTCTTGGAACGGATATTTCTAGCGTAAAAATAGCATATTTATCGATGGGGTAAACTGTCGTTTTGTTTTAGAATGCAATCATAATTGAAACAGGAGCAGTTTTTGATTTCTAATTAATGTATTCCTCGGCAGGGAACAGCCGGTGTATTCGACCAGAGCACACGTCTTTCAAATCGATCCAAGCACCAAAAAGAGCTGGCTTCCTTGCTCTAAACAGGCTGTAACAGTGTCCTTTTATTATGATCCGAACAAGGAAACTCATCGTATCATATCCGTCGATGGCGCAAAGGTAGGAAAGAAACTCTTTTTATGACATGGGGGACTGGAAATGTGGTTGAATCGAATTCGCTAACTTCGCAATTTATTCGTTAAATAGAAGCTTAAATCGCTTTGTGTTCTCGCTAATCTCAAACTTTTTACTAATCCTTTCTACTTTTCTCACTTAACGCGTGAAATTGTACATAGACTTTGTTATAGGTTGCTTGTGGTGAAATTCTGTGGCAGGAAGTTTAGGAGCTGAAATCGTGTTGTATTTTCCTGTTATGGAGGAAATCATTTCAGTCGCAATGTCTTGATATGGCTTCTAGCCAAAACGTGAAGTGTTTTACCTTGTCTGCTATCAAACATAATATTTTTGGACCAAAAACTTGTTTTAAGAACGACTGAAATACATGTAGTATTTCTTGAAATAAACTTTCGATCGCAGTAAGCAGTAATAATTATGGATATTTACCATTTGTCCCTCAAATCGAATTTGATGCATTCCTAAACTGTATCAATATATTATATTTGACACCAGGTCAAACAAAAACCTGCTAACAGGTTGTAGCCGGACTGTTTGGAATTTTTTCACTTATCTTTAAGAAAATAAACCCCATTTGCCTGCAAAGAAAATGTTTATTTAAAAAAAAAATACATTTTTGTATCGTTGCTCTCGGAGATAATTGGAACACTGTGAAATTCAGCAATTATCGAATTCGTCGAAGCGTTCATCAAGGCATTCAAACATTATTACGCGCTCTTGACTCTCGAACGCAATTTTGAAAGCATTATAATCAAGTTCATTGTTCTTAAGGTAGTCATGTCGGTCACTCGGGTTTTTTTGGCTAATTTGAATTTTACGCGACTAATTTTAAAGTTATTCAAACAGCAATACTTAATATGGCGGATATAAGCGCTCATTTGAACGTGGAAAACAGATACGTGTATAAACTGTTTCCTATATAAAGTTGGTACATGTTCACTCTACTCTTGATAACTTTGCAGCCTCTATTAATTTTTAAGCAGTTATTGTCTGCAAGCCACATGGTTGCCAATTTTAACGTCGTTGCTTAACAATAAACAAAATAAGGTTATACATTTGAAGCACTCATGAGACAATGTACCTCTTGAGTTGCTCAAAAATAAAAGCTGTTATTTTTGTGTCATAGTATTTTGATGAAAACCTGTTGCAACACATATTAATCCTTGATAACTGGATGATCTATAGTAAAAAATACTGACATACCTTGATATATTTGTTCCGAAAATAAAAGCTGACCTTTGTCTCAAGAACTACTCATGCCTTAGCTGGAAGCCTCGGTCTGTTTCAAAACAAGTCTTTGTGCAAAACCTTTCTCATGAAAATAAGTTTGATTTGCATGAAAATGAACCTGGCGGAACTTATTTTCATATGAATAGTTTTGCACGAAGACCTGTTTTGACACAGAGGCAAAAGGCAACTTGGAAATGGTCTATTATTAAGGGTAATAAGAGTAATTTCAACTCTCTGCTGGACAAGATTTGTACCAAGAATACTGATGATACTGGAACCCAAACCTCTCGATCCAGAATCTACCTATTAATCAGCCTAGTCCTGGGTAAAGTGGATAGGGAACTAGTATCTAAGAACAGAATTATGGATTGTCTTCTAATTCCTTAGTAGAAGTGGTTTTGCTCTGGTTTTAAACCAACTTGGCCTCACACAATGTATATCCCAGAGAAGACAAGATTCACTAAATTTTCACGTGTTCTTGTTATTGTGACAGGCAATTGTCAACAGCACCATTGTGCCGAACATGACATTCACGAAGACATCACAGAAGTTTGGCCAGTGGTCAGATGCCAGGGCTAACACTGTGTTTGGATTGGGATTTCCATCTGAAGCTGAACTCAATAAGGTTGGCAATAAAACAAATCTTGAGTTCTCGCCATGCAGCCATGTGACACGTCAGGTGTACACCTAAATCTAGTTATACATACAATCTTATTCCCAGGTTTTCTGCCCCGCCCCCTCCCCACCCCACTCTGGGAAGAAGAGAGACTCTGAGGTCTCATACTTACAATCATTCAGTAAATCATTTTGAACTCTTGACTACCTTATATTTGAAAAAGTGCTTTTCATCTCCAGCATATGGTACCCTGAATGTAAAGGTTGATGTTTTGTATGTAATATCTGTTTACGATAAAAATTGTTTCATTTACAATGTACTTAACCAATATAAGTGAGCAGCTGGTGTTGTGTTTTATATCCTGTGTAATGTGAGACCTAACTTGTTATAGTCAACATTAGGTTGGAAAGACAGAGGGTTGGGAGGGGCTGGGAATTGTACTGGATAGGTTCAGGAAATTGGAGATTGGAGCAAGGTACAAATATTTGAAAGTGCTCAGTATTTTACCTTAACAGGTAAGGAACAACAACAACAAATAAAAGCATTTGACCTTTTTAGTTTTAACTTTTTAACAAGTCATAAGTACTTTGTGTACCTTAAGGAGGCTGTAATAATAATGGTAATTTCTTCATGCCAGAGATTTAAGAGAATTCAGCCTTTCCTCTGGCACAGTATATTGCGATTCATTAAAAAACAACTGAAATCACTTGACATTCTTCGGGAAATTAGTTTGCAGACAAATTTAAGGAAGCTAAGGGTTCCACCCGGACAGCTGGTAGTACCAGCAGTGGAAACTCCAATTCATCTGCAACAGGCGTGAATGCTATAACTACGAATGGCACATCAAGTGGAGCAGTGAATGGTACAACAGACTCTCCTCTCAATACACCCAGTGTTGGACACAAAACATCGTCACTCAAAAGTAACTCCTCGGCAAGCAGTGGAGAGGTACATACACAAATGTTTTTTTTTTTGTTTTTCCTTTTGGTTAATCCTTTGATGATTCAAGTCTGAAGTGAAGACAATCTGTATTCATTTGAAAGTGTCAAGAACTAGCAAAAAGAGACATAGTACAATTTGTGAATACTGTGGGTTACTAAATACAGTTGAACCTCCATTAAGGAACACCTCTCTACTACAGCCACTTTTTTGTCTTGGTTGACGGTCCATACATTCACTCTAATTATAACTTCTCTTTACAATGGGCACCTCTACACAACAGCAACGGCCACCAGAGTATGTCTTAACTGCCAAAAATAACTTCTTAACAATGGCCAGTTAGTCACTAACCGATGAACGGTGTAAACAATTTTTTTTTATAGTAAAAGAACACAAAACTTGATTTGTACCTTGTGTTTTTGGCCTCCGTTTCTGTTTGGTGTCAGTTAAAAGTATTTTGATTGTGTTTTTTATTTCTATGCTGCAGAAAGCATTTTTTAAAAATATGTTGCATCCCCCAAAACAAGCAATAATTGTTATATTACACTCCTACGTCCCCATAATGGCCACCTTGCTCCAACGGCCACTTCCCTTTGTCCCCAAGATGGCTGGTGTGGAGAGGTCCGACGTTAAATATATGTGATATATTGGCATTATATTGTTTTCTTTTCCTCATAAAAGGGTGCCATTTATTGGCCTGTTCATGGTCATGCATAACTAACAATGGAACTGTTTAGACAACATTGCAAAAACTGTATCAGCACAGCTTAACTGTGTAGAGTTATGCAACAATTGTTGTTGCTCCCTGTTGCATTGAAGTTACGCTTGTTCACATTTTACTTTGGAGAGTTTTGATAGTTGATTTTACTACTTAATAGTGTAGCACTAGTGTTGTCAATGACAATATTAGGAGGATGGTTGGCCTGTATTCAGGAATCGTTCTTGCAATGAGTATAAATGTAGGTCAAGAAACCTTTTGAACAATACTATCGCCAAAAGCATATTTTTAAGATACATTGTCAAGCTGTATGTTATTTTTTCCTTGTTAAGTTGGAAAAGTGGTCAGCAAATTTTGCAAAGTAATTTTATATATATTCTTAGAATGTTTTAGGTAAAATTAATAAAAAAACCCTTAAGACAATAAGTAAACATTCTTCACTCAGTTCATTGTTTGTTGTAGTTTCAATTAGCTTTAGCTATTAAATATTGGCAGCAAATATTTCCATGTGAAATTGGACAATTAATCATTCAAGCATGTTAATAACTGTATTATCACAGAAATAATATTTGGTGACTGTTATATAAATGTTGTTTTGGTGAATTTGTGCCTTTTAAGTAATTTATGTCCTGAAGGGATAAATCTTGTCTTCTTCAAAGTAAAATAATGCTAATAAGTGAAGGGAATGTCATCAAATTCTGTTTAAGTGTAATTTGCTCACAGGAGGCCAATAACATTTTTCATATTTTGACAAATGACTTCTTATTAATTTTATTAAGTAAGTGGTTCAACAAAGAATTAGTTGTGCATCATTTGTAAATAACAATTGATATTTTTTATCACTTCACTTAATATCTAACATCGAAAGTGCATTGTGTAAATATGGATGATTTTGTTAAATAAACATTTGGCAATATTGAACAAGCCATAATGGTTCAAGAAAGAGAACAATGGCAGGCTTTGGGAAAAGAAAAGCATCTCTGCCAGCATCATTTAAAATGAAAATTTTATCAAAGGTAATGTGAGCTTACCTTTATGTTGGTTATATTAAAATTGCTTTTTCCTTATTTCTTGTAAACAGCTTAATGCTTATCTTGCCAGTGTGAATTGTCAATTTTTTACCAAAAACATTTTTAAGCTTTGTGTTTACATGTAGGCTTGCACTTTAATTAATCAGTTGTCTCAGTTCTTAGCAGCTACAAACAGCATTTATCGAATTTCACTTCACTTTCTATGTTACAGTTGATTTTGGCTGATGGTAGTAAGTAAATACACGTGAATTAACATGAATATTAAGTTCATGCTTCACAATGACTTGGCAAAACTTGTGCATTAAAAATTTATTGCTCCCTATGTCCAAAAATTATGTAGGTTAACATTTTCACTTCCAAAGTTAGACCTTCAGGCATAGCCAGTGTGGCTACAGTTTCTATAATCTTTTGTTGAAATCGTAGTGTGTGACAATTCAAATGAGAACTATTGAGTGGATTATTCATGTGGTGTTCTTATTATATGCTCAGCAAAATGTTCCAAATTTTTTTGTCCCTGGATGCAACCCTAGTGTGTCAGACCATTCATGCAAAAGATTTTGACTTGTGTTTTCATCTGTTGCTGTTTATTTTGCTTAGATACAAGGTGATGGACAATTTCAGTCTGTTCAAGAAACCCTAGTGTGTTAAACAATTCAAAGTAAAGCTGTTTCAGCATAGAATTCACGTGGTGTTTGTTTTGCAGTATTTTGCATAGTGAAATTGTATATCACTTCTTTTATTTTTCACTTGGCATTTTTGGAGTGAAGGGTTTGTAAAGTTGTTTCATGATCAAGAAGTTTAAATTTTTAACTTGTTTAAATTTTTGATGAAGATTTGCAAATCTTGTTAAGAAATCTTAGGCGATAAGTATTTAGATAATGTTGTTTCATGATAATAGCAAAGATTTTGAAGTATTTAACTGGTTCGTATTTATTCCATGGACTTTTCTAGCTAGTGGGAAGTGGATGACAACAGCATATTAAACATGTTATGTTTTGTTACAATGTACCTTTCAGGAAGAATCAAAGGAATCTTCTGGCATCAGCCATAAATTGATTGGAAACACAGAGTCACATCTGAAGTATGAAAATGACCGTCTGAAGATGGCTTTAGCTCAGAGGTAGGGGAAATGAAAGATAGAAAACCTCAACTTAACTCTTATGGAACATGGCCATGATCTTTCCAGTTGCATGATCTTACACAGTTTGTTTGTGATTTGCTTTATGCTCATTATGTCATTGGTTTAACTGAGGTGAGATAAAGTCAAAATAACCATCTGCATTTTCGACTAAGTAGTTTGAAAGAAAACACAACAAATAAATAAGCTGATGCAGATTCAGGTCATAACCTACCAAACTGTTAGGGCTAATTTAGATGGTTCAACTTTGTGGTAC